ATACAAACCTTATCTAGTTGCAGATGTTCCATTTCGGCATATAGCTTCGATAGCTCGTCATTCCATTTGTTCTTCTCGGCTTCAGATATGTTCTCCCTAAAAATCTATTGCTATTCTGCTGACAGAAACTATTAAAAACTTACTTATTCAGCCTAGCTTGTAAAACGTGTTCCTTCTCAAGCATAGCCTGCCTTCGGGAGTCGGATGCCAATACAGCATCTATGACACGCGTATCATCACCTACGACTTCTTGTTCGACGGATAGCAAAGTTATTCCAGCCGGAATTCGTAGTTGCCCACTTTAAAAAGGACTTCTTATTTTGCGCTTTGTACAAGATAGAGACTTTACCTAGAAATCATACTAATAAGCGTAGTTTTCCCGATACCGTTACGGCCCACTAGACCATAACGTCGCCCATAAGCGAGGGTCAAATCTGCAGACGAAAGAAGCTGTCTAAATAACATAGAAAGTAAATTCAAAAATCTTCTTTGTAAGGGGAACGTTAGGTAAAGCAAAACTCACTTAGTTCCAATTGAGATATCAACGCTTTCCAATTTTACATCTTTGACATTGACCCCACGAGTTCCTAATTCCTTTACCGGCGCCTACAACGAAGATCATATTTGAACTATAACGTTAGGAAAGAGTGCTACGGAGATATCAAATTGCCTCTGCTTTTTCTTATCGTTAAAAATTAGCAAGTGCGCAGCCACGCAGTCCGAACACAACTTACACTTTGCTATTTAAGAGGGCCTTTTGAAGGAATGATTAAAGAAGGAAAAGAAAGCGAAGAAAGGTACTGAAATAGTGGACTGGAGAAAATGACTGGATTAGGAAACTTCGTGTTGCCTTTGCATGCTGCAAGAAAAGGTATAAGAAACAATCTTCGATTCTTTGAAAATGAGACTGAAATTCTGTGGTTTCCGCGATGCTCGGGCGCCTCTCTCGAATTGCTTGCAGTGGTGTACGGGAGAGCAAGGGAGGCTTTAAAGGCACTGGACAGGCAGAATGGACCCTGTCGAATTTTGGTGGAGTTAGGAAGTAGACCCCCAAGTACACCGT